ATATATTCTCTCCTAGCTTCCTAAGGAAAGTTGCATAAGTAAGGTTTCTGGATTTGCGTCCTCAGTATGTGTGTGCTGATGTTCATGTTTGTGTTGTCCTGGCTTGCTGCTTAGGCTGTGATATAGATTTATAAATTGGAAATACTCTTCTTTCAGCATTGTGAAGGCATTCACAATGGGCCCCTTCCCTGTTTAATTGCTGATGAGGTATCTGAAGCCTTTTGATGTCCTATCATTTATGTTATCACCTGCATTATTCATCCATTGTGTTGGAGATTTACATTATGCCCTTTTGATCTGGAAATTAAGGTCCTTGGTTCTAGAGAATATTCTGGAATTATTTCGTTTATTATTTCTTCTCTGTTTTTTCTTTTCAGAGCTCCTATTACTTACATGTTGGGTTTCTAATATTGAACTTTCTCATCTTTTCTGCACTGTTTTTCATTTTTTAATCTCTTTGTTCTATTTTCTGAGGGAGTCTCTTATCTTCCAATTTTCCTTAGCTTCTTTTCCTCTTTCTTTTTTTTTTTTTTTTTTTTTTTTACCAGCCAGGCTGGCCTTGAACTCCTAGTGATCATCCTGCCTCAGCCTCCTGAGTGCTGGGATTACAGGCATGTACCACTATGCCCTACTCTTCCTTGGCTTAGCTTAATTTAGCTTTCTTTCTTTCTTTCTTTCTTTCTTTCTTTCTTTCTTTCTTTAATTTTTTTTAAATGAGACAGGATCTTACTATGTAGTTCAGTCTGGCCTTGAACTCACTTTGTAGCCCAGGATGGCCTTGAATTTGCAGCAATACCCTGGCCTCAGCCTCCTAAGTGCTGGAATTTCAGGAGTGTACCACTACATCTGGGTTCTTCCTTAGATTTTTGTTTTGTTTTGTTTTTTATTTTCAGACAAGATCTCACTAAGTTTCTCAGTTGCCCAGGAAGGCTTACATTTAAGGTACCACTGCTTCAGCTTCTGGAATGTTGAAGTTATAGGTTTGCCTACCATACTTAGTCCCTGGCCCTCTTTTGTTGCCTCTCCAGACAGATTAAACTTTAAGGTTTCTGCCGCAATGGAAAAGGAGCAGTTGCCTGTGCATAGAGTTGGAAAGGGAATCTGGAGCTTTAGCCATTTCTCAAACATCTCTTACTGAATTCTTATTTTAGCCACCTCTTCTTTACCCCCCAGTTCTAGATGTAACTAGTGCTGCCATTTCTCAGGCTTTTGAGCCTCAGTGGGATCAATCAGACTTGACTCCATTTTTTTCTCCTCCCAGCTTATGATTCACCTTTCTTTGATCTGAATCAATTATCATTTGCCCATCCACTTTCCTGTTTCACAAATGTCTTATCTCTCCTGTTTCTCCCATCGTCTGTGTTTTTTAGAAAAAAAAAAATGTCTTTACTAAAGTAGATGTTAGTGTTCCTTCTTTTATCTTACCTTTGAAGTCTCAGTTTTTTTTTAAAATGGCAGGCAGTTCTTTATGGTTTTTGTAAAAAAAATATTTATTTATTTATTTATTTTTACAAAATCTCAAAACAAGATTTTAGGAGAGTAACAGTGGTTAGTACATTGTATATTGTTACTGCCAAAGTAGTTTCTCATATTACAAGATATAGGCAAGAAATAATAAATAAACAACATAGGTACAAACCTCTATTTTTTTTAAAGTCAACAGAAAATGGAAATATACTTTTTAAAGTTTCTAATAC